TCAGAGAAGGTTAAAGAGAAAGAGAAGGATCTTGAGACAAAAATGAAAGCTACGAAGGAAAGGGAGAAGTCTTTAAAAGTCGAGGAAAAAAACTTGGAGAAGGAGAGGAAGCAAATTCTTTCTGACAAGGATGAATTACTTTCTATTAGGGATGAACTTGAGAACATAAAAGCTGATGTTGAGAAAAAACAGATAAAGCTAAATGAAGACACAGAGCAGCTTAAAGTAACAGAAGCTGACAGATTGGAGCTCACTCGCCTGCAATCGGAGTTGAAACAAGAAACAGACAAGTGCAGACTCCAGCGAGAAAAGCTCTTGGAAGAAACTGAGGATTTGAAGCAGGAAAGAGAGAAATTTGAAAAGGAATGGGATGAGTTGGACGAGAAAAGAGCTGAGATTAATAAACAATTGGAGGAAATTAATGAACAAAAGAGGAGTTTTGAAAAGCTAAAACACTCTGAAGAGGAAAAGTTGAACAAGGAGAAAATCGAAACTCAAAACTATGTCAATGGAGAGTTGGAAGCACTTAAAGTAGCCAAAGAGACGTTTTCGGCCACAATGGAGCATGAAAGATCAATTTTAGAAGAGAAACTTCAAAATGAGAGAAGCCAACTGCTTCATGATTTTGAACTTCTTAAAAGCAAGCTTGAGACTGATATACAGAAGAAGCAGGAAGAGATGGAGTCTGAGTTGCTTGAGAGAAAGAAACAATTTGAAGACCTGAGGGAGGGAGAACTAAATAATATTAACTTTTTAAAGGAAGTAGCTCGAAGAGATATGGAAGAGCTGAAATTAGAAAGGTCTGGAATAGGCAAAGAGAAACAAGAAATATCTGCAAGCAAGAAGCATCTTGAGGTACAACAATTAGAGATTCGAAGTGACATTGAAGAGTTAGTTGCCTTAAGTAATAAGTTGAAGGATCAAAGGGCAGATTTCCTAAAGGAAAGGGATCAATTCATGGAATTTGTCAAAAAGCAGGAAAATTGCATATCCTGCGGAGAGCGTATCCGTGAATTTGAGCTTTCTCATCTTCAATCTTTGACCGAGGTGGAAAACTGTGAACCACCTCCGCTGCCTGGTATTGCTCAAGATTATTTAGGGAAGGCTACCCAAGAGACTCCTGGAAAGTCTGCTAATGTGTCGTTCCCTGTCTTTGGAACTTCAGCCTCTGGTGGGACCATGTCTTGGCTTAGGAAATGTACATCAAAGATTCTCACCTTTTCACCAGGCAAACAAACTGCATCTGGCGAACTGAGAGATTTGATGAATGAACCTGCCCTGCCGAGTAAGCATGTCAAGGAAAGACAACCAGGCATGCCTCTTTTGAGGGGTGATGCTTTTGAAGAGCAGATACCCCTTGAACCTGCATACAGCACTGGTGAGATAGAAGCTAGCAAAGATACTGTGGAAGACACTCAAAATTCTAATGTGAGAATCGGCAAAAAGCATAGAGCTGCGAGAAGAGGGTACCCTAGGGGTAGAAAAACTGCTTCTGGTAAGGCCAATGGGAGCGTAGAGATCTCCATTAACACCAATGAGGAAAGTGAGAAAGAATCTGGTCTTCAAGGGAAAGGAACCCAAAGGAGTGACAGAAAACGTGGTCGTGTGCATGCATCACAAGGAACAGCAAGTGAGCATGGAGATTATAATAGTGAAGGAAACTCAGATAGTGTGACAGGTGGAAGGAAGAGGAGGCAAAAGGCTGTCCCTATTATGCAGACTCCTGGTCAAAGTAGATACTATCTCCGCCGGTCTAAAAGGTAATCTCTTTCCATCGCTCTCTGATGTCGCTTAAGTATCAACCTGATTAAGAGAAGACAGTAAGGGTCTTATTGGATGGAGAGTTGGAGGGGAAGGCTTAGTCTACATCTTGATGTATATTTGAGATTTAAAAAAAGAAAAAAAATTATTATAACAAGGATAAATCTCACCTAAATCTTTTTATCTTTCCACCTAAATTTTCAGGTCTGCTGGAGCAACAGCCAATGCTTCTCGATCTCTTAATGCTTCAACGGATCATGAAGAGACACGGCATCTCAAATCTGCTCAACCAGCTCCTTTAGAGATTATTGATGGGGAAGTGCAAAGTGTTGAGGTTGTTCACCAGACTGCAATAGAGACACAGATAGAGGTTTGTCCCCCCCTCCTCACTCCTCTCCTCCCAAAATACAAAAGCAAAACATTTAAAACAATAGAACCCTTTAAATTGTACTCAAGAAAGTACTACTACATCAACAACCCAGTTCAAGTAGGGTCTGGGGAGGATGTGCACGTAGACCTTATCCCTACTTGAAAGTAGGGAGGTTGTTTCCATTGTACTCACTAAATTCTAGGCATAAAATCTATCTACTATGTCCCCAAAAGGAGTCGTGTTTCATTAACTTATTTTGTCACAAAAGAAAGAGTATGGTTTAAAGTCATACTTTAATTTTTTTAAGTAAAACTTTTGAAAAGCCAAATGGCGAGTGGCTTTAGTATTACTCCAAATAATCTTGGAAAAAAGTTATTTGGGGGGGGGGGGG